AACGCACATTGATGACCAGACTTCACATTAAAATTGTCAATATCTACATTTAACTTCAAAAGTAAAGATGCATGTTTGATACGTAATTTTTCAATAACTTGTTGAACACTAAGAAAATATGCACCACCAGAACCTTGACGAAGTATACTATATTCTTTTTCCAGGTGATCTGAAGTAAATTGACCAAGAAGTACATAGTTTTGCGTAGTGTTAAGTAAATATCTACATAAATCTACTAGTCCATAACAAGTTTGATGTATACAAGTTGCAGTATCTTTAGAAAGCCGTTTAATACGCTTACCTTTGGGACCTGCCATTTTAAGTGCCATATCACCAAATTGTAGTATTAAATTTAAACGGTTGTCACAGGATTGTTGATAACAGCCTGCAAAGGATCATTATGCCTTGTATCAGCACCAATGGCTTTGACATTTAAAATTTTCCACCAAATAATAACTTTATTAATAGGGGAGAGTCGGGTAATGGCGAACGCGGGGTAACTCCGAACAAGGTTGTTAAGGCATGTTAGAAAAGGATAGCTGACAATCTTTTTTTTTCTGACAAGAGTGGGTTCCATGCTCAGTTCCAGACGTGCAATAGTGTATTATAAATGCGCAGGTTCTTCACGGTAGATTGCTTTTAAGTTTTTCTCTTAGTTTTATGTAATTTTTATTTGCGAAACATTTATGTATTGGCTATACTATGTATATAAAACCACACTTTTATTTATGTTGTTGCAAAGTATCATAATCATGGAGTTTGTAACACGTATTATATTTAGGGTATGATAATACTACCTCAATATATTCGTTTAATTTCATTTGGTTGTAACGCGGGGAAATAACGAACGATCTTAGTGGGGTAATCGCGAACACTTATTGTCTTCAAAGTATTCTAGCGTATATGATAACACACGGATGATTCTTAAATAAAGTTATTATACATTATTTATTTAGTTTATTATTGTAAAATTTTTATATATATACATATATATATATATATATATATATATATATATATATATATATATATATATATATATATATATATATATATATATATATATATATAAGTATATATATATACACGGTATGTTCGGAATTACCCCACGTACGTAGGGTAATTCCGAACACCGAAGGTTTTGTTTTTAATCGAATTTTTTATTTTTTAATAAGATATATGAAAATTGCTTTTGAGTGATTCTAACCAAATGGATAGACTAAATAATAAGCAAAAAATATCATTAATATATAGTAATAATTGTCTTTAATTCGCATTCCCGCTTAGCTGTTCGTCATTACCCCACTCTCCCCTAAATATAGCAGTGTCGTTAACAGCAATATGTATCATGTCAGGATGTTGCAAAAGAGCAGCATAAGTTTTTTCTGAAAATACTCTTAAAACTGTTAATACACACTGTCGTTCAACAGGTTTAGGAGAAATAGAAGTTTCATTCAGGTCAGATAACTTTATAAAGCTTCTGGATTCTGCATTGTAAAGCTGCTTTAAATGAGTCCATTTTGCAATCCTGGTTACTCCGTTATCGTCAAATATTAATTCCTGAGTTTTTTCAGTTAACCAAAGATTACGAATATTTTTTATAAGGTGTACAAAATCATAAAGTAAATACTTTCCATCTACTGTTAACCATGGTTTTCCCGGAATGAATGTGTACATTTTAAGAAAAGCCTGATTGACACGATTCCCATCACATATAATAGCTTTTACATTTGTACTGACTGAATCAATTATTTGACTAGTTAAATTAATCTGTTCAAAAAAAAAATCAGATCATAATTTTGATATTGGTATCATTTTAATTAACACCTTTGGACCCCCATTTAAACAAACAGCCATAATCCCTAACAATGTTTTCGACAATTCAACTGGGTTATCCTCCGATCTACCAAAAATAGTTCCACCATGGTAAAGCAAACTTTTTTTAACATATGTTTCATCATGTAGTATGATACATAATTTCTGCTTATCCGGAAGAGAGTTAAAAAATTGAATAAATAAACTTGTTTTCATTAATATTAGAAATTTTTGAAGTAATTCGAGTCAGTGTTGAAATAGATGGAAGTTGATAATCATTTCTTAAGCGATTATATAATGCCCTTGGATGTTAAGAAATATACAAAAGAGCGTATAAGTATTTCAGGTGTATAAAGTACACCTGAAATACTTATACGCAGTATAGTAATAAAAATCTCCAACTAATTTTGGTCCCATAACTGAAACATGTTGCATAATTACTTCTTTTTTATTATCAATTTTCAAAGAGCTTAAAAAACGAAGTATCTCATCAAACTTAGACCAGGAGTCAACAGTTAAGATTCGATTTACTGTTAAGCTAGAAATGTGACACTTAATCCCATAATGAAATGTTTCAAAGGTAAGATTTTCATAAATTTTAAGTACAAAAAAAGGTATTCCATTAAAAAATTGCAAAGATTGTATAACAACATAGCCATCAACCATAAACAATATAACTGGATATTGGTGATCACTGCTATCAATAAACTTGTTTTTAATGTCACAAAAAGTAGCTTTATCCCTTTTAAGAAATGTATCTAGCTCATCATCTATTGTACTTCTAATGCCACTTAAAGATCTTTTGGTAGATCTTTCAGTTGGATAACCAGTTGGAATTTGAGATAAAGGTATTCCTAGCCAAACAGAAGGAGGATTTTTTGGTCGACGTTTTCCTCCACGCACTTTAACTGTATCAAAATGTGGAGGTCAGTGTAACTCACAGATAACAGTATACTTGGTAACAACCAAATTAGAGTTTGGAATAGCTTTTATCCATTTTTCACGCTCAACGTTATTACTTGGAAACCGATAGACTGATATTTTATTAACTTCACTAGATATTTTGTTTTTTTCACTTTGATAGTTGGTGTGACAAGCATACACACAACATTTATTTGGCATGATGATTTAATCTAAATTTTATAAATATATTATTTGCTTTAAATCATATCTGCAAATCCATGTTTAAATTATTTAAGTTTATTAACATTGTATTATATTCCATTATTTAAATATTTGTCATAAACGACATGACATTGTATCTGGTCTGAACGTGGAAAAATAATTTTTTCGCCGTAAAAAAGTAGGCCTCCACAAAAAAATCCGGTTGCGCGATGAATAGGCCTGTAGTAGAGAACGCTATGATCTTGATACAAACTATGAGCATCATTAAAAAAGTAAATAAAATGTATCAAACTTAGTGAAAAGGCAGACTTTTACTTGAAAGACAAACAAATTAATAATTATAGCCCAAATAATGCATTCAATGGATCTATTCACATTTTAAAAACCCAGATAATATATCATCTTAAACGTCATTATAAGGCGTCCATAATAACAGGGCCGTACCAAAGGCCGGGCCAGCCGGACCGCGGCCTGAGGCGCCAAAATTGGGAGGGCGCAAAATTCCCTAAATTAATTTATTTATTTTCACATTATGAAACTAATTTGCGTAGCGTCACTTTTATGTTGATTAGAAAATTAATTAAAATTGCGCCTCCTAACGAACTTTAAAATAAAAGCTCATTTACCAAACAGAAGAGCGCCCTTAAACACTAAAAAGTTGTATTTTCTGAACATTATTTATTACAATAAAACGTGCAAAAAAAATATCTGGTGCTGAATTTAAGAACGACAATTAAAAACCAAGAATTATTTATAATATAAACAAATGATTCATTAAGAATGATATAAATTAACTTAACGCACACATTAAAAATTATTCTAAAAAGAAAAAAATATAGAAAAAAAGAACTTCGAATTTAAAAAAAAGAACGCCTAATTTAAGCGGCTTAAATAAAAAAACAAATGATATGAAAGCTAAAGAAAGTAAAGTAAGCAAATAATAATAAAAATAAAGAGGGAGAAGAAAAGAAAAAAGAAAAAAGAAATAATAGAAGAGCGCAATTAAAAAATAAAAAAGTTGTATTTTTTGAACATTATTTTTTACAATGAATCGTGCAAAAAAATTATCTGGTGCTGAATTTAAGAAGAAAAGAAGAGACCGTCTTGAAAGTGACGCAAAACTAAGAAATTGTTTCTAGAAGTGGTTGGTAACATACTCTTCTGTGGAAAAACAAATTATTTCAAAGGATATTTGCAATGAAGTTGATAATGATTCAACAGCTGAAGTTGTTGCTACATCTTTAATTACTGACTTAAATTCATATCATCCATTGAAATTAATTGAAGAGGAGATTTTGATTGGCCAAAGTCATGACGAATTTGGACCAAATGATTCAGAAGCACAAGAAGATAGAAATTCTCAGCTTTCAACACCAATTAAAATGGGCAACAGTGAATTTCCTCCTGAAATCTCAGAAATTTCAGCAACCTCAGGAGAAAACTTTCAACACAGTGATCCAGCTACATGGCCTAAAATGACAGATAAAACAAGGTGCTTTTTGATTCAGCATGGGCCGGAGCAAGAAAGAAGAGAATTTTTCCCAAACACACTTTGTGACTTTGACAACAGAATGCGACACTTCAGCTCAAAATGGTATGAAAAAAATCATCCCAATGGTGAAAAATTTGTTCGCTACTGGCTGCTGTACAGCAACAAAAAAGATTCTTTGTTTTTGCTGTCTGCTATTTTCAACGACAAAAACCAACAATTTTTCAGAAATTTCAAAAGGATTTTGTGACTGGAAAAAACTAAACCCAAGAATTCCATAACACGAAAACAGCAATGAACACCAAAGATGCTTTTCTGATTGGAAAAATCTGGAAAAAAATCTCAAGGAAGGAAAGACCTTGGATTCTGATCTGCAGAGAGTTATCAACGGATAGATGAAAAAGTGGAGAGATATCTTGAAAGTGATTGTTGATGAAATTTTGTTCTGTGCCAAGAACAATCTTGCCCTTCGGGGTTCAACAGAAGTAATTGGAGAGCAAAACAGTGGCATCTTTCTGAACTTAATTGAGCTGATAAGCTATTATTATCCTTTAGTGGCTGAACACGTTGCATCCGTTAAGGCAAAGAAAACCACAACATCCTACTTTTCTCTTCGAATTCAAAATGAGCTGATTGAATTACTTGGGCAGAAAGTAAGGAATGAAATTTTGTCAAATGTCAGAGAAGCTAAATACTACTCTGTTTTGTTTGACTGCACTCCAGATGCCTCCCACAAAGAGCAGATGACCCAAATAATGTCCACATCACTGAGGAAACCTGTACAATTGAGGAAAGCTTTGTGGACTTCATTGAATCTCACAAAAAAACTGGAAAGGGCCTTGCAGCTGAAATCACCGAAAAACTGGAGAAGGATGGCCTGAGCATTTCTGATTGTCGGGGCCAAGGTTACGACAATGGAGCCAATATGTC